GGGTACGTACGCGTGTGCGTGAGTCGTGTGTGTGCTGGGTACTTACGCGTTGTGCGTGAGTGTGTGCGTGTTGTGCGTGTGTGTAGGTACGTACGCGTGGCGTGAGTGGTGGCGTGTGTGTGTGGGTACGCTATGCGTGTGCGTGAGTGCATGCGTGTGTGGGTACGTACGCGTGTGCGTGAGTGTGTGTGTGTGTGTGTGTGGGTACGTACGCGTGTGCGTGAGTGTGTGTGTGTGTGTGGTGTGTGTGTGTGTGTGTGTGTGTGTGTGTGTGTGTGTGTGTGGTCGTGTACGCGTGTGCGTGAGTGTGTGTGTGTGTGTGGGTACGTACTCGTGTGCGTGAGTGCGCGTGTGTGTGTGTGGGTACGGACGCGTATGCGTGAGTGGGCGTGTGTGTGTGGGTACGTTCGCGTGTGCGTGATGTGCGTGTGTGTGTGGGTACGTACGCGTGTGCGTGAGTGTGCGCGTGTGTGTAGGTACGTACGCGTGCATGTGCGTGAGTGCGTGTGTGTGTGTGTGTGTGGGCACGTATGCGTGTGCGTGAGTGTGTGTGTGTGTGTGTGTGTGTGTGTGTGTGTGGTGTGTGTGTGTGTGTGTGTGTGTGTGTGTGTGTGGTGTGGTACGTACGCGTGTGTGTGGGTACGTACGCGTGTGCGTGAGTGTGTGTGCGCGTGTGTCGTGAGTGTGGTGTGTGTGTGGGTACGTACTCCGTGTGCGTGAGTGCGTGTGTTGTGTTGTGGGGGGGGGTACGTACGCGTTGTGCGTGAGTGCGTGTGTGTGTGTGTGTGTGTGTGTGTGTGTGTATGGTGTGTGTGTGTGTGTGTGTGTGTGTGTGTGTGTGTGTGTGTGTGTGTGTGTGTGTGTGTGTGTGTGTGCGTGCGTGGGTATCGGCATGCCCCACACCACACAGGACGAATGATTCTCCTGTATTTTTACTCCTGGCGAGGATAGCATCAATTAGTATTCTGTACAGTAAGATGTCATCACATAGTCACTGATGCAGACGATTCATTGTCAACCTCTGCAATTTGGTTGCGAGAACACGATGAAGTTTTTTGAAGAATTACACCGACTCTTGCATTCTGATCAAGGTTTTAACAAGGTCGGACTTATTCAGCCCCCTTTGATCTCCGCGTGCACCCATGCAGTATTAAATCTAACTTGCTCGGAAACCTTTTGATCTCTTTATTATTCTGAAAGGGTTGCTTTGCATGGCTGCTTGGAAATGATTTAGCTGTTATTAAGCGAACCTACTGTGCAGCTTAACAGAGGTTTTGCCGATTTCGACAATGATTATTTTAAGTGAGGTACTTAGCGAGGGTCGTTGTATTCAGAAATTCTTGCGGGAAAATTCGCGAAAGCTACTCACTCGTGTTTGACTTACGTGTATTTTTTTAGTTTATAACCACAGCAACTAACATGAATTAAAATCTGCTACTACTAAACTATGATTATAGGTAACACATCAAATTTCTTCCGCCCGTGCCATAAAGATTCGATATGACCCTCTCTTTATAGTCGCATACCGTCTCGTCTTTTACCCTGGCTGCGTTCTCCGCTTAATCCCCAAGTGACGGTTGTTTGCGACACGCGTTTAACGGTTAGGGTTAGTCAACGTGATTAGTATTAGTATAGTGAAAATCAATTAAGCGCGGTCGGTAGCACCGGACAGCCCAGCACGAGAGATGCCTGGGCAATATAAGAGCGCGCTTGTCCGTTTCTGATCGGGATTGCGCGCAGAGACTGGCTTCTTTGCCCGCGTTCGGGGATGGCATGATTAATATAAGCGCTGCGCCCTACCGCTTGCATGTGACGTCTAATTAAGGAGTATGACAGAGAGATATCTCGGACCAAGGCGCTCTCCGAACCACGCGCTCGCTATATAGTGTGTTCTTCGCTAATCTGCAGGCATTAATAGCTGATGTGGGGTCGTTCTTTGTAATCCGCTCTCTACCTGAATGAAGAGAGATCACGTCGCGAGGCGGCCAGGCGCTGACACCACGACCTCTGCCCATCTACCTCGCTAGACTCGGAAACCATCTATCCCTCGCCATCATGCTGACACTGACACCACGTGCCTGCATCGTCATCATGCCCGACATCGCCGTTAGATGGCGCCTGCACTTGCCTGGCTTCATACTTGTCCGCGAGGTTAAGCCGTGGACCGTTAAGCGATAATTCAGGCCATGCTAGTGACAGGCGTACTAATGCTAAACACTAATGCTAACTACTGCGGCACTTGTAGAACTTTTCCGGCTTGGTCTATACGAGGTAGGCGCGGCAAGGAGATGCCCATATTATAACCTGGGTAACCATTATGATAACCTTTAAGCATAATATAACCTATTATAACCTTATATCACTATATTAACCTATCATAACCTAATATAGCCTAATATGATTTATTATGACCTATCATGTTTCACCCGCGTAGTTCATATAGCGAGCCGTGTGATGCAGGAAGTCACGTGTGCAGGGATTAGGCTCCCTCTATCCCCCCTTCCCTCCTCCTAACACACCCATAGCCCTGGCGCATCTAGCGCCCCCTGTTAACGGCCTTAGCGCCCCACAGTGTGGTTATGTAGCGTCGTTGGCTTCCGGAGACTGCAACGTCGCTGCAACGTCGGCTATGCTCGTTTTTAATTACTTTTTATATTATCACGCTTATTTCCCTCGAAATCTCTGTCTCCAATGCCATGATAAAACCATGAAGAGCAACTACGAGTATAGTCGCATGTTACTAGTTACTGCGCATGCGCGCTCCCGTACAGAATACGGGCGGAGGCGATGCTATTGGACTGTTGTATAACCTTCGTATCGTTACCCCGTTGCTATTGGTTCGCTGCGTCGTTACTGAATTGCGTGCTGCGGATTGTAGTAATTGTAGCGTGTGGGAGGGGAGGAACTGTCCTCGGGGAAAAAGGTTCGGTTTTCAGTAAGAACTTGCGGCAAATTCTATAACATACACAAACACACCAACACACGCGCACGCACGCACGCACGCACGCACGCACACACAAAGGTCGTCGCTGTGATATCGTGCCACGGCGTCTAGCATTGCAGCAGCTTGTGCGCATGCGCGATTAAGATTACTACCTGCATGCGTGTACGTTGCGCTACACACCGCTAACGACGCCGCCTATAAGGTTTCTGCCCATTTTCGCGCTCGCACGCGCGGTAATATTACACTATTATAACGGCATTACGACATAATCGGATCGGCGGAGGAAAACGAATGTAGGAATGGCGCTCTCGTCACGACAGCGTCGTAAGATTTCTCTTCGTCAGGGCTTCTCGGGTGTCTGTGTGAGCCTCTCTCTCTGCGCGCATCCCCCGCACGCGAGCGGTGCATCGGCATCGGCATCGGATCCCGCTCGTCGGGAGATGCGAGCGGTGTGCAGGCAGAGAGCGAAAAGTTTTTGTTTAACAATACCCAGTTAATCGTAATATGACGTCATAGTTAAGCGTGACGTGTGCTTCTGCGTTTTCGCCACGCAAAAGTCGCCAGTTCCGTAGTTCACAATTACAAACCGCGTCACGTGGTTCGAGTGTCGTCATTCTGCAGACGCGATAGACACGCACGCTTTCTATATTTCGTATATATAGTCTTACTGATTACTGGGTTCACATGCAGCGATCCACTACTAAAGCTCCCAGCCTTAGCTATAGATCCTCTAGAAGCCGACAGTTACCGATACATGGACGTGAAGACATGGCGTGGTGATTCCTATAGGGTAGCTAATCGGTTATTCCCGGTTGGCCTACTCCCATTTCGCCTACGGCAAAATTCCCATTTTGCCTACAGCAAAATTCCCAGTTGGCCTACACCCATTTCGCCTACTCCCAATTCGCCTACGCTCAAAATCTACCCCATTCCCATTTCGTCTACGATCGGTTTGTTCCTTAAATTATCATTTATAAATAATAAAATATGGTTTTGATTGGCATACATAGACTACAGGAGCCAGAAGAAAACATAGGTACAAATAATGAGTGTCTTAGCCGTGTCTGTGTGAATAGACCAGGTGCATTGCAGCTGCGTAGAGTTCTATGTGAATCATTCATACATTACTAGCTAACCAACCTGCACCATTGTACATATATTAATATTCGGTCACTAGGAGTGTTCACCATTATATTGTGAACAGGAGATGTAGGCACCTGCGTCGTTTTACTGTTTTTATTCGTTGTACGTTAGCACCAAGCTAATTATCAGTAATAATAATTTTCTTAATAAATCCTAAACTTTATTAGAAGTGAAAACGCCACGTCAGATTTCTATTTCAAAAGGCAGATTCTTAATTCATAGTAATTACTTGGCAACAATTATTGTTTAATTGGGTAAATTGCTCAGTTTTCACTGAGAGATCGACGATTGGCATCCCTGCCGATTCCCTCCTCCTCAGTCCCGAATGAGTTGCATGCATGATTTCTCGGGTATGAGGACTGCAGGTGCATCCGTGTCTGACGATGCAATAGATTAGCTATTCAACCAAACATTCAAAGATGACACATCCCTGCTCATACTAGACATATTATATACACTGATACATCGTCCTAAATCTGCCGGTTCTGCTTAAAATAACGGACGCAACATTTAAATATTTGTTGAGGTTTTCCTGCTAAAGGAAACAGTTAATTCAGACCACGTTTAATGTACAACAAACAGTTGAAAGCAGGAAGTGGGTGCCGCATCGTTAAGATGCATTTGAAGAAGCTAGTATGCATTGTTCACTGGCCACGCCTTCCGACATTGATTCGCCATTTTGAGATCTCACTAAGTACTTCGAATGCATCTAGTTAGATTGAAAATGTTTCTAGTTGTCATCCCCTTTTTATATAGTATAATGCATTCTGTTTATTTGAGCATTAGTCAGACATTGATGTCCTGGTTAGGTATTGGAATGGTTGGGATGTTTTAGTTACCAATTGATGATGCATGATGTGTCTATTCGGTTAGCTTCGCGTTCTAACGAGATTGCATTTTCTTGTCATTGTAGCTTCATGCAACGAACCATTGGGAATGTCTAATGGCAACATTCCAGATCTCCATATCACAGCAAGTTCAACACATGATCACGGTAGTGTGGGACCACACAATGCCAGGTAAGAGCTATTGTAATTTTGTTGCTTATGAGAATTTCGTATATAGGAGTCGCACACGCCCTGTATATTTCGTATATGGGAGTCGCGCACGCCACATACACTCGCCATGAACCTGTGAACCCACATCCGCTTGTAACTTGGTTCGGATCTTGCATACTGTGACGCGAGCGTAGAAGTTGGGACATCGTTCACTAATGCTGTTAATAGAATTTTGCGCGTTCGCCTCACGCGTCAGGGCGCGGATGGGATAATTACGAAATCTGCTATTCAACTGTGGCAGGCCCGTCATCTAGTATTACTGTCTGGGATCACTCAAGTCTGTGTTCCACGACAACGGCCGAAAATTCGACAATCAGGCGCGAGAGCATTTTCATACTCGAATTGTCCTGTTATATAAATATGGCAGCGCGTATGATTGTTCTGCATGAATCCCTCCATCTTGTGGTTGGCGTCTATGGTTTTGATTGTGGGCGGATATTTATACACAAATGTCGATGGCTTTTCATATAGGGATGATTCCACTGATCTGTAATAGGATGGTATATGTCACGATTTTTAATATCGAACACCAAATTAGCATTTGAGAGCTCTGTAATCGCTGATAATGGCGATAATGGTTGAAATTCGCTATCTATGTCGGTGTAATCGCGCTGCGCAAATATTCTAATAAATAAATTAATTGAGTTTTGTCGCGACGCATAACGACTCTTTAATTATAGGGGGGATGTCGTCGCACGAAAAATGAACTTTTAATCGACGACTTCGGAGTCTGTGTCTTAATAAAGGCGGAGCGTGACTTTTGTCCTTTGCAGTCGCACATCTTTCGTTCTTAATTGGCTTCTTTGTGTGCTTTTTATTGCGCTGGCTATTGACGGAGCTTCAACGCCGCCGCCACGTCACGCGGAAATCACTCCGGCGCGCGCTAAGCGTTGATCCGGCGTTAAGTTTCGCTGATTACGTCAGTGAAGTATTGGACATGCGTTTTTCGCGCTCTCGAATTCACGTTGAAGTGCGAATGTTTTCATGATGATGGGAAGAGAAATTCAAACACTCGAAGGTAAAGCGCGCTATTAGCGAAAAACTAATAACGACACTGAGGGGGGGGGGAGTGCGTTAAGGCATCATTGTTTGACCTTAGTCAGCGCAAAAATTCAATTGGCGAGTGTGCGAAAGAATCGCACAAATTTGAATGTTTGGCTGTCTATGACGGTGTGACGCACCCGGCTGTTGTTCGTGCGTAAGTGCGTGGCCCCGCATGCTGGGAAGACGTACGGGCCTCGACAAATGAGTTTGTCCTAATCAGCCCTTGACCTGTTCTGAACATCTGGGAAAACATGCAATTCTTTGTGAGCGCAGGAGCGTATATATATATCTCGACACACATATACGCGGCGTCCATGCGCATTGTTGAACTGCCGCGAGAAATGGGTTGTGAAGGGTTTGGTCGCGGCGGCAAGCGTCTGTGCGTGATAATTATTCATCCAGCGTCTGCGGCAGGCTGAGGTCGCCATGCATGACGTCATGAAACCCGCAAACAGAACTGTGAAGCTGTGGACTCATCAGTCTGTGCGAGTGGGACGGAGAGCTGCAGTGTGTGTGCGTGCGTGTGTTTGTGCGTGTGCATGTGCGTGCATGTGTGTGTATGTGCGTGCGTGTGGGCGGGTGTCAGTGTGTGCGTGTGTGGGTGTGTGCGGGTGTTTCTTTTTCAATATTTTCCCTTATAATTTTTACATCAGTCTTTTTATCTCTCCCTCATTCTCTCGCTCTCTCTCTCTCTCTCTGTCTATCTATCTGCCTCTCTATCTCTATCTCTATCTCTATCTCTATCTCTCTATCTCTCTCACCCTAACCCTAGGCACAAATCGGTCTCGGCTCTGTATGTATGTATGTGTGTATGTATGTGTGTATGTATGTCTGTCTGACCTTCCGTCCGTCCGTCCGTCCGTCCATCAGTCCATCTCTCTCTCTCTCTCTCTCTCTCTCTCTCTCTCTCTTTCTCTTGAGATGAGAGGGAGTGAGAGAGAGAGAGAGAGAGAGAGAGAGAAAAGGGGAGAATGAAGTCTCGCGCTAATGCAATACTCTGACGTTGTTTCTATCGCTCGAAACAGCGGCACTGGAGTGACCTCCCCAGAGCGCGAGCCTGGGCAGAATATATGGAGATCCTAGCTTTCCCCCATGACAGAAGAATCCCCCTCCCGGAACATCCCCGCCAGCATCCAGAAGGAGAGTGCTGAAACACCTTTGGCATCGGCTTAGCTGTATAGGAGAATGTCGATGCCTTTGGGGCTCCCCTCGGGGGATATTCCTTCCTCGGTTTACTCGCGTAGACTTTTCCTGTTCCCGGACATATCCCGCAAGGCAGTGGAGCTTAGCGAGAGGCAGTTTTTTACGCGTTGAGAAAATTCACTGTCTGTCGAGGATTTAGACTCGTAGTCTTTGCCAGTGAAATGTGGACGCGGTAACGGACGGTCACGGCAACTCTCACATGGTGTAAATTGGGAACGTAGTAATGAATTTAGTATGAAATTAGTAAACAGCTGTTTGGCAACTGCTTTGGGGTATTAGTTGAGTGTTTGTGCGTACTATTATATTATGTACACTATACTGTGTTTTTTAAAGGTTAAAATGTATGGAGGGCCAATTCGAACGTGTTGTGTCCTGACTGCTGCATCATTATATCATTTCCTCTAATTTCATCAAACGACATGTGGCGAACTGCATTTGCATGATATCGAGCCAACTTCTCGCAATAGATTTTTGCATCTGCCCTGGTGCAGGATAGAATGGACAATTGGAACGTCAATAAATTAAATGCAAGAAGTATTCATATAAAGCCGGCGACGCCATCATCAGCTGATGGCGGGCGTCTGCATGCATGCACGCGCAGGCGGCGTTTGAGCAGCAAGCCTATGAATGGGTCTGTAGAATTTTGATTAGATTTTCTGATCACGGATTACGATTTGCGCGCGTTGGCTCTGGATCTCCCGTGTGGGCAGTAGTTCCGCCATCTCTCATCTAGGATTGCCGGGCATCCCAGCTAATCACGACACCTAATATAGCTGAATATGTGATTGACAGCGTGCATGTGATTCACTCAACTCTCTACTCGCCCCATCCCTATATAGCCCCCTCACCGACTCTCGCATACTCTCTCTCTCCCCCCTTTCTTTCTCTCTCTAATGTGACTATGTATATAGATGTGCATTACTGCGCTGCCATGGCTGCGCATTACACATTACTGACATTTTCATGGTAAATGCGAAGTAAGGCTTGACGATAATTCACAAGGGATTTTGTTTGAGACTGAAACAAAAGGTATTAACACCCAGTAACGTATCGTATGATTAACTCGTTCCCCAGGATGCACAATCCCAGAAGTAAGCTACTCAACATATCTCATTCACAACGCTATGCATCTAGAGCGTTCCGAGTTTCTGTCTACAAATTCAACAGTAAAGTTGCCAATTACATTAATTTACACATCAAAGAAGAGCGTCAAAGCAGCCCCCGAAGTGATGAAAGCGCTGATTATTTAGCTAATATATTCCGCGCATCCTGAAATGATGCTTACGTTATCATCAGCGCTCTAACGAGATTGCAACAGATCGCAAACTAGACGCTCTCCTCAGACAAGACTCTCATCCAGACTGTATGTAAATGTAGCTCCTGGTTAAATATTTTGTATAAGAGGATAATAATAACAATAATAATAACAATGAGAAAAAGACGAAGAAGAAGAATAAAGGATATTTAAAGCGTACCGCAGAGAAGTAGACATCGTCAACATGTTCAGAATACGGGAGCACATCTTGTAGTAGATAAGTAATTTAGTGAGTGCGTGCGTTTATGTAAAGAAAAGTCTACGTAAGATGGAATCATACAGAGCTGCTGTGTCTTGTAATAATCGCGACACGATCTGAACCCCATAATTATATTCCCCGCGACGAAGTCAGCGGGGATACTATGGTTTTATGTCTACCCAGTCGCCGCCGCCGCTCGGTCCGCCGCAGAGAATTTCCTTTCCGCTCTATAACTCGACCCCTAATTGACCTAGCGCTACCAAACTTGGTATACTTACACATCTTGGGGAGAAGGTGTGCTGCGTACCAAAACCAGGTCATCACGCTCTCTCTCTCTCTCTCGCTTCCTTTCTCCCTCTACCTTTTATACTATGCGATTTACTGCTTCCAAATGCATTAATCACAGCCGCCGATATTAATAAAGAAGCTGATATTGTAAGTGCAGCACGCGGATTAGATCGCAAACGTAATCCCTCCCCCACATACACAAACCCCCATCGGGCCTTAAATCTGACGCGCGAAGAGCATTTTCCTCATATCGAATGCAAAATCCTGCCAATTATAAAAGCCGTATCCATATAGGGGATATTAAAATCGTGCGAGATCGCGGCGGCGGTGGCAGCACCGTCGCGGCGAGACAAGGCTTGGTGCGTGTGTTTGCTCGTCGCATCAATCTTGGCACACGCAATCTGCATGTGAATCAAGCTGCGAACGCTCGTTTGCCGGTCAGATTATTCGGCGCGTTATGCCTTGTTTATGCAGGAGATTTTCTGTAGACATCGCGCGCGGGAAATAGATGTCGCGGGTAGAAAGAAGCGCGGTGGCTTTCCTTCGGTTGCCGTGGGCGTAGTAAGTAGTAGTCTTTGCGAGCAACATCAGTGACTGGAAAGATTCATTGTCCATCGTTGATGTTAGTCGTGGGGATGCAACGTTGCGGTGCGCGCAAGTGTCAGTTGTTATATGTTAGTCGCGGGATGCAACGTTGCGCAAGCGCGAAAGAATGTGCTGCACGCAAATCACACGATGTCTGTATAATATGCACAATGTCACTGTATCCCCGCGTGGTAACCCACTCTGAAGCGTACAGTCACTATGCCCAGGTAACACACAACATCGATGCATTTACGCGCATACAACGGGAATTCAGCGTGGCCGTAACACACAAATAGATGACAAGATAATCGATATGCAATGTATAAA